CCTCGTACGCAACAATCTAACTGGAGCATGTCTATCAAATAAGTCTACCAACAGCAGGTTGAACCTGCTTACCATATCCTCAACAGTTGATTGCTCGTTAATAGACTCCCAATTCACCGACTCCAAATCCTTTTCAAAACTATCAAATTCAATATTTTTCAACGGTCTGTATGAAACTACTTTAGAAGTAGTTCTAGGCTTCTTCAGATTTATCACACAATTTACCATGGCGTGGCCAGTGAATCCAGCAATATTTGTAACTGATGTCTCGCGTACCTGACAGTTAGTACACACAATATCAATCAAGGACTCGGATCCTGAAGTAAAATGGGTGGGCTCAGATACCACCTGTTTGAGTTCAATATATTCCAGAAAATTCAGTAATTTGACTGTTTTAGTGTCATTCTCTTCAAGCAAATTTATATTAAAATCCCCCATAATTATTATGTAATCAAAATAAGATAACCTTGAAACAGTATCAGTTAAAACATCCAAAAAAGTATCAACATTCATCCACTGCGGTCTGTATGCCGTACCTATAGCAAGCCTATAACCATTTGCACGTGTAGAGAGCCACATTTGTTCAATAGAAGCATCCAGGTTCTTTATATATCGAACATGAATATTACTTTTTATATAAAAGCCTACACCACCTCCCCGACCCCTGCGCATATGCTGTGGGCGTGGAGTAAAGCGTAATCGGTAACCAGGTGGAGCAGGAGCACGCATTCCCTGTCCAGCCGCCAGCCATGTCTCATTGATGGCAACAATATCACTCCTAAAGCGATCCATAGCCACCAAGAACTCATCATGGCCAGTGTTTAAAGAGCCGGCATTGTATAAACATAAATTTAAAAATCTATTCTTGTGTACCATAAGTTGTTTTTATTAATATTAGTAGTATCATACGATATAGGCCATGTAAAAATTATTATATAAAGTAAATACCACAAAATAAATTCATTGTTAATTAAAAATAGTAAAATTAGTTCATTAAAAAATAAAAATAGTAAAATTAATTCATAATTAATCAATAAATAGATAAAAAAATAAATAGATAGATAAATTAATACAAAACAATGGTCAATCTCACTAAATTCGATCATTATAGTAGTATAACGTTTACCACTGCGGCGCACACCACACTTAACAAAATGATGTATAGGACTACTACAAACAGAGAAAAACTGTGTTATTAAGCTAACAAGCTTTATAAACAAACTACTATAATCATTACAAAATACATCAATATAGCATAGAGGCATAACAAGCTTAATGATATTGCAAAATACTGTGTATGAAGCACAAACCAAGACAAAGCAAATAAAAATATAGCCATACTCTGCATCTACCGAAAACAAAACACTTCTATCAATATACCTCCTTCCTTTCCCTATACTGTATTCTATAATTAGCTTAGGTAAAACGATTCGTATAAAATATATAAATTGCTTTTCTAATATATGAAATTTCCATTTTTTCATTATTTTAGTGAATATCACCTTCCACATTATAAATAATAAATTCAAGGACACATATATCATATGTATAAAAATTAATGTATGTAATTCTTTAAAAACAATAGGTACTAACAAAGTGAGAAGGATATATTCTATATAATTTTGTTTGGTTTTCTGATCTTTATTAAATAAGACATTACATATTTCATTTAATACTTTCAAAAATATACATTGATTAATTGATTGAATAAAATTAGGTAACTTCAGTAATATACAATTATTAGTTATTTCATATGTTTCACCGTAAAAATCAATCAACTTTATATATAAAAGTTTCAGAAATATTAGAATACAATATAACATTAGAGACAAAAGGTAACTACTTATCAACAGCATGAACGGCATTTGGTCCAAAAACACGAACCAAATCGGCTTCCGAGCGTAAACGGTGGCGTGGGGCATGATCGCCCTGATGCTGTCGGACAAACACCCTCCCATCTCTCGACCAAACGAAACGCCAATTCAGGCGCCCTGCGATGTCACGAGCACGTCGATAGATTGACCTATTAACTCGAGTTAATCGCTCATTAACATAAAATCGTCGCGGTGTACCCGGCAACCCCGTACCCTCGGTGGTGACTCCGCGACGCACTCGTGCTGCTTGTAACATCTCATCACGCACAGCGCGCCTTGCCAAGCGAATTACAACGGTCCGTGGTCTCACTGACGATGACGATGCATCCACTTGCCCGGGTGGACGGCCCACTCTCATTGCGCACACGACTTCCTGCTCACCGATGTTGACTCCCAATTTTTTTGCTAGAGTAATAGCGATGTTGGTCAAATTTTCACCCTTTTGTTCTGGAATACAGGCTAACTCGATATCATTGAGCAACAACTCTTGATCACGATCCACGTTCCATTGAAGCAAGAAATGTATTATTATCTGGCTCAAGTATTAAAGGGTCTCTGTTAATACGTTGTTCCAACTTCTCAACACGAGCATTAAGCTTATCTATTGTGGTTTCACATGCATCTATTCTGGAGACCAAATTCGACAAAGAAACATTAAGTTCGCCTATCTTCCGTCTAGTAGTGGACAATTCTTCCCGAAACAAACGTAATTCATATATTAATACATCAAGATTCGAGCCACTCAAACCGGTTTCACGAGAATTGTCAGGTGTATTATTTTCACAATTTATATCCATCATCGAAATATCCAGCTGTGAATGAGGGCTAGTCGTCGCAGCACCCCTCTTTGTAGTGATTTTATCCTCGGCCGATCTTACAGGAGTGTTTGTATTATCCGTTCGAGGTTGTTTACTCACACACAAAGTGCATTTCCAGGTTTCTCTTTTTTCCTTAGTTAGCGTATTGTAAAATCGTGACTCGGATACGTTAGCACATATCAGGTCATAATGTTCTTTACAGATACTGCAACACAGAAAACGCCTGTCAGTAATCTGTTTTAGGCATCCGGCACAACGTATCGCATAATTATCATCACACATTATCAAAGCGGCAGGTATAACTCCGATGATTAAGCGCGCGAAGTGAGACGGCCCAATGCCGGCACCACACACTAATAAAGGACAGCAAATGCACCCCGGGTTCGTAATACCGTCTTATTGATATCGCACCGTTCTTGGTTTTAAAAATAATCAATTCTCACAATAATTCTAATGTGAATAGATATTTGTTAATGTATTTTTAAAATATAGGATTCAGACATCAAAGTGATACGTAGTTTATATTTTAAAGGTGATTATTTAACTGAATAAGACACGAAAACAGTAGGCACTATATTTTTATGATGTTTACGCGGCAACCGTCAAACACTCACTCTGATTAGTACCTTTGAGTTATGTATTATTGGTATATAAACTTACTACAATAAATGTTTGCAATATAAAGGTGCCATATATTTGATTTTAAGAAATAAAAAATACTTGAATTGAATTTAATAGTTTTTTAAATCTACCTAATCACTTATATATAGCATTTCATCCTGTCAATTGGAAATTAATAAGTTAAAAGGTCCGTAAAAGATCCGAGAGAAAAGTAACGGATACGGATCTTTCTTTTCCGTCGGATATCCGCGGATACGGATACGGATAGGGATATTCGGAACATCACTAGTAGGTACGTACTCTGTCGAGTGCATTGACTTGCGAGGACTCGTGGGTAGTATTACCCTATGCTCTTAGTTAAATTCATTCAGAACTAAATTCTGTCATCTGATCACGATCATGTAACAAATTAGGCACTGCAATTGCATAAAGGTTATTTACCTTCATTATTTGGTCGGCAGTTTCGTTTTATCTCTCCACAAAATCCATTAATCCAAATTAGGTATTCCAAACTAAAATAACGAACACATATTGGAAACATTTTCCGGTTTCCTTTATTGCTGGCATTCGTAGAAATCGAAAAAAAAAATCTTCGTTTAAATTTTGAATTGCGTCCTTCAAAGCTTCTTTTACTCATACTTCACGGACTATTGTTTTCGCTCTTTGTCGTACCACATTTAACATTTTTGGCTATCTTAGAATCGACTTACATGAAAGGCAATAACTTTTGAAAACATTCCATACTATTGTAGCTTAACGAATGTTGAACGGTGTGATATATAGAAGTAATTTCTGCTGCTGACGTTTTGTACATAATATTGAGATTACGTTCAGATGTGGAAGTACCTGGTGCCTGGAAATAGATAGTTATGTTTCTTGCAGCACGAGAACTCGTGATTTTAGAGTGACTACTTGTTCTCAAATGCTTCACTACATCATTTAACCCACCACGAGAAATAGTAGTCTTTTTACACAGTTTACAGTAAGTTTTATACTTATCCGACGTCACAATACACAACCAATTATAATCATTCTGCCAATTTTTATAATATTTCGTCAAGCGATGTTTTCCTAGTTTGGCTTTCTTGGGTGCAATATTTTCTGGTTCCGAGCAATCTGTTACATAACTATCGACTTCAACCATCTTTAAACGATTATAATAAGTAAACACCACTAATTTAAGAAAAACAAACACGTAAAAAACTCAATCTTTTGATTGTTTCAAATGATTAAACTAAATTATGCATGCAACGCAACTCGCTACTTAACTTACTCACTGCTATCCAAGCACTAAAACAAATGCAATAGGTATTTGTTATTCCTTCGTATGTAAATCGTGCGTTTTCGAGAAATTCATTTTTTTTATAAAGAAATGAGTATAAGAAAAGAGTGAAACAGAAGATGTCGCGGCCGCACGCACAAATTGCGTGTCTCACCCCGCACCGTACAAATAAAGTGGCTCACCCCGCACCGCACAAATTGTGTGGCTCACCCCGCACCGCACACCTCTCTCTCCGCGCGCTTTCCGTACATTATCAGTAGAGATGGACGTTTAAATGAAAAGCACTTAATTAAGTATGCTTTTTTAAATTAATGTAAAAGCGTTTTTTCACTTAGAAGAAAAGTATACTAATGCTTATTATATGTCCCGCCATCTATCAAGCCATGAATTAACTACTAGCTTCAATATTTTTTTCTAATTCGGCATTTTTTTATTGGAGGGCAGCACTTTACATAAATGCACTGTATTATACTACCACCTTTTTCCCGCGACTTCGTCTGAGTGGTAAAGTTACTTTGAGCAGCATTTCTATCGAATATTTATTCATTATATCGTGTAAAATACCTGAAATAAAGTTTCATCATATTTTATCCCCTTGGGGGTATAATTGATCAAAATCCTTTCTTAGCGGATGCCTACGTCATAGTTGCTTTATGCATGCAGTCTTAGCCCGATCGGTTTAAAATTGACGAAGTTTCATACAAACTGTCATCCCCTATTTTATCCCCTTGGGGTTAAATTTGATCAAAATCCTTTCATAGCTGATGCCTACGTCATGACATCTATCTGCATGACAAATTTCAGCACGATCCGTCCAGTGATTTAGGCTGTGCGTTGATAGATCACTATGTCGTCAGTCAGTCACCCTTGAGTTATATACATATATTTAGATTTAGATTACGCGTAATATCTATCTAGACGCTTTTTTAAACGGAACTTATAAAAACCAGTACACTTTTCATTGCTGTAGTAGGCGCACGTTATGATGAAAGTTAATTAATTGTGTAAATTTAAAGATAAAATTTATTATATTGATTTCAGACAGTCCTATGCCTGTGATTCAGTACAAAGAAAAAAATCATTGATTTAAATAAAGCACAAAAAAATGATGTTATCATTATTTTGTTTACTTACAACAATTTCGTTTTATTTGGTATTTAGCACGTTAGATTTGAAAAAAATAAATATTATTTAGTCAAAGCAAATTAGTTTCATAATAAACAACACGCTTCTTATCACTATTTCCAAATGTCAATTTAAAAAATGAGTTAAAAAATAAGCAGTTTTAAAAAACAATAATTAAAAAACGTACAACGTAACAACGCTTAAAAATTTTACCGCGCCGGGCGAAAGGGTTACCAACTCCCAACAAAATAAAACCCTAAAATCAAACTCAAATGACCCTAAATAACCCTAAATGGCATAATCAAAAGCCCCAAAAAAAGCCCTGTCCTGCCTGTATTACCCATAGATTAATGGAATTGTTTAAAAAAGTTTTCTGTTTCATTTAGGTGAATAAAATAGACCTCAGTTTTAATTTAAATAACTTTATTAGTTTTAATAAAACAGAACTTAGTTTTAATAACTTTTTACCGACAATGTAGATCTTTCATGTTAATAATTAAAAATCGACATTATCGATAACAGTTAATAAATCGTGTAAATCCGGACTAGGTGTTTGTTTACAGCTTTCGCAATTTTTTAAATTATACATGTTGACGTTGTTCAATTGTAACATTTTCGGAGATGGGGATAAACGTTACGCATAATCCACCATCTCGTTTTAAAACAAATCGTGTCATCATTAAACTTTGCAGCATTTCAAGAGACAATCGGCTTCGTAATTTGTTTTTCATAATATTGTATACAGAGAAAGCACGTTCGACACTAGCATTTGAAAATGGTATAGTTATTAATGTAAGTGCAAATTTTGAAATGTTTCCAAAACGCTTACCCACCAGCGTCACAATCGTTAAATACTTCAGAGTAAAATGCAGTTGAGTTGGTGGTGTCTGACCAATATTTATTATTTAACTGACTCCATTCTGATTGTACATCATTCATATTACCATAAATATGAGGCCGCTACAAAAGTGTTAAGATTTTCGAGATGTCGGGCTTAACTTGGGAGGTAGCGACTTTCGGATGTAAATCGGCAATAATTTTTAACGTCGCAAAATTCTCTGGAAGCCGTTTTTGAATTTCCTCTGAAAATTCAAAAATCAAAAACTTCTTACATCTTTCTTTCACGTCTATTAAATCGCTTTCTTCAAGTTCATGAGAAACTTTTTGAAAACTATAACCGAAATATATTGATGCTGTGTGCATTATATATTTTTGAAAGTTAAAATCAACAAGTTCAGACTCTGTTAGCTTTTCTAATTGAGAGGGTACAACAATTTTTTGAAGTAAGTTTTTGTATAGAAAAAATAAATCTTCAAATAATTTTATAGGTTCTACTTCGTCACTTTGGAAAATAACATTCAGTTGAATAACTTTTTTCAATTCATCTCTTAAAAATAACAATAACGCTTTAAATGGTAAACGTTTCATAATATCATGAAGTTGCTCCGCCATATAACATTATTTATAACATATAACATAACATTATTACTGTTTTCACTTGCAAAGTCCTGCGACTTAGCAAGTGAAAACAGTAATTTTAGCTCATCCCATTGTTCGATAATTGTGCTGATAGCTTCGTATCGTGCCAACCATCGCATCTCACTTAAACCTTGTATTCTTTTTGGTGATTGATTATTGTTCATTACTTCATAAAGATTTCGATACTTTTCTAAGCGTTTAGGGCTGTAGCTAAATCAATTGTGCGCTTCTCGTACCAAAAATTCCAATTGCCTTGGTAGTTGGGCTGCATTTTCAGCACACAAATGAAGTGAATGGCTTACACACTTCACAATAACCAAATCAGGTAATTCTCTTTTGAATAAAGCCGTTACAGAATTGTGTTTCCCAACCATAACGTTGGCTCCATCTACACCTATGCCAACCATATTTTCTATTTTTAAACCATCTTTAATAAGTTGATTTTTGATGAACTCATAAACAGTTTTTGCATCGCATTCAATTAATTTAATTAATCTAAAAAATGTTGTGACTATTTGCCTTTTTTTTTATGCATAAAAACGCACCATAATGCATAAAACTTTTTGTGTAGAAAGATCTGTGCTTTCGTCTACTATAATCCAATAAGGAAACTTTCCTATCTCTTCTACTAGTTCTGCATTTTCAGCATGAAGTAGTTCACTGAGAAGAGAAGGCCCAAGCACATTTTGTATAATCATGGAACATTTTGTACGATGTAGTCTTAAACTCTTTAAAGCATCCGATGACGAATTTATGTGAGGCAGCAATTCAATCAAATGGTCAACTGTCAAAACAGCAGTATGTTCTGCAATAAATGCAGCAATTTTAATTTCTGCTATTTTAGTTTTATCCGTTGGTTTTAAATAAGCCGTAATTGATAATTTGCAGGATTTTGCAGATTTTTCCAACGCAATGGCTTTTTTATGCTTTTCGGTCAAGGCATGTCTCAATAAAGCCTTTTGTATGTGCTTTTAACACAATGCGACAATATTTGCAATATGCCATTGAGTCATCCGTGACATCAGGAGAACGCCAATCTAAAATCAAAAGATGCAGATTAATTAAATATCCTTACAACTCTTAGCAGTTTCCCAGAAGTATGGCAATTCTTTAAGACCATGGCAGCACCGAGTAGATTCATTAAAACAACAAATTCTCTGAATCGATTCAAAGTGTACGTTTTTAGATCCATTCTCGATAAAATAATATCTTAAAAATCGATTTTCAACTGACAGCAGTATTTTCAAATTGAAATAGAATATCATTAAATTAATTATAATTTACTGTAAGTATTTTATTTAGGTATGTGAAAAAAAAAAAACATTCTATTTTAATTAATATATTTAACATTATGCGTGCGTGATATTTAGATAAAATAAATTCGCAAATTACAAGTACCTACATAATAAGATTTGCAGTTTGGGAATCATATAATTTTTTTCATAGGTCGAAGTACGAAAAAAAAAATACAAAACTAATATACCGCCACCAGTTTAGGAACATATGAGAGAATTATAAATCGGTTTCGAATCAATAACTTTGTCAATAATTATCGAATAATCGATTTTACATGCATTGCATTGCATAGGTCTACAACATTACCTTACTATTCGGTCTATAAGGGCCTAGCATAGGGCCAAGCATATAAAAGTAACAAGATTAAATAGGTAGGTAAGGAAATAAACAAAACCAGAATGCATACTATGTTTTATGACTAAAACCAACCCAAAAAAGCAATAAACCATGACACAAATTAAAACAATACCGGAAATGCAAATACATTATAAAATGCCATATTGAAGCCATAGCATAGATAGCCCACATACACACGTACGTCCAGCTAAACATTTGTTTCTCTATAATGCAAAATTGGTACCTGTTATTAACAAATAATTTAACGTTTTATCCATTGTCGAATTTGAAGAGTAAATAAAGTTCTTTTGTGTGTTGCAAATGATGTTGTTTAATCTATTTAAAACCAAATAAAAAGATTCAATGGGTAATTTAAACATTATCTGATAATTTTTTAATAACTTGCTATTATAGAAAGGACTAAAAATAGCATGTGAATAATAGAAATATACGTTGGTTACTATAAATTGATTACCTTTTAACTGTAAATCTGTCTCCCAAATTTTTGAGTACTTTTGGCAGTACTTCTTTTTCTCTCCCTTTTCTTTCGGCATATTTTAAATGCCACTTTATACTTAAGTTTATTAAGTTTATTTTCTAAGACAACTATTGTGCTGAAAAAACAC